ATTAACATTGTCTATTACCCACCAATGACCATGCATTGATTATATCCATTCCATGGCTTTGTAGTATAAGTGATGCAAACTCTGACCTTCTGTTCACCTAAATTTCACTACTACCAAATTCTAAAAGGAATTAACTGAAATCTGAAGGAACTGGGGTAGAAAACAACGTCCCACACCCAACTAGATAGGATTCATGGTTCATTTAATTTGCACAAGGAACAGTCAGTTACTAGAGAGCTAAATGTGTTGATGCTTTTTAATGGGTCCATTAAAAATGTCAAAACAGAAACATTCATTATAAACTTGTAGCACTTTAGTGTTTCACAGATCATCCAAGGAAATTTAAAACTACAATAATATGCTTTTAAATGTATGTTTGATATCCAGATGCCTTGCTTAAATGAACTATATCATCAAAGCAATCTTTGGTGAAACCTATCAGCAGTCACTTTCCTACCCGCTCTGTCCCAAGACCTTTTGAAATACTGAATCCTTTGTGTCTGTGAAAAACAGTTTTGCCTTTTCTACTTTGTTTTGGAGAGCATACTAAATGTAGCTCATATTTCCATTTAAAGAACTTATTCATAATGTCATACATGAAGTGCACCCTGTCAGGTTAAGAATTGATTTCATAAGCATAACTAAAGAAAATTAGTGTAATGTTTGTGAGTCCGGTCACCAAACGCTGTATTTAAGTAATTGATGCATAGTGTTCAAGAAAAAAAAAAAAAAAAAAAAAAAGGGAATGCCTCTCTTCCAACTTTGTGGTGGTCATCACATTGAACTTTTTACTCCAAACATTATTTACACAGCATTACACATATAAAAGTAAGTACTTATCTGCTTGTGTATAATATTCTAAAGCAAAGAGCCTCTGTGATCGCAGCAGGCTCCCCAGTCCCTCTTAATGTGTGATTATTGGCTACAGTAGATCAGGTTTAAAACAAACAAGCAAACAAAACCTTGATCGTAATTTAATGTCTTCATATGCTTTCAGCAATCCCTGTGCTTGAAAGGCACTATAGACCTTTGCATATAACAAAGCTTTCTTCCGAGTCACATAGTGAATATTAAGAAAAACATATGTGGGAAGTAAGCAAAGGGGCCCTTCAGAATTAATTTGTGTCAGGAACGAAGCTGTCTCCAACTCCAATTTCAGCTTGAAAAGGGTTTCAACACTTGACAATTCTTTTTGCCTATTGATTATACTGGTTTCTTCTATACTTGTCTTATAATCGGAGAGAAATCTGAGTTCTGAGTATGTCTCTTAATATATGGAATGTCTACCTTAATTTTACCCAAGAACTACTCACCTACCCCCAAACATTTAAATCTGTTGATGAATTTAATATTGAGGATGTCATTTCAAAGCCAAAATGAAGGCCCATATTTCTTGGAACAGAAAAATTTCTGGTTTTAATTTTGTGAATAAGGAGTAACACAAATATGAAGAATAAAGTAATATTGTAAGGTGTATTTGACATTTGACAGTATTGAAGACAATCTACGATTTTTTATCTCCATGAAGATAACTTAAGTTTTGTTTCTGTTTTTTTGTTTGTTTGTTTTAGCCGCATACAAGTATCTGAATATTCCCACTGCTCACCCAATTTAGTCAATCATAGTTTGTTTGAATAACAGTTAATGTATTAAACAATATAACTACTGAGAGACAAATTTTATGATCCTCAAAGACACTATTCAATAACTTATATCAAACAATAACAAAGAGTGTCCCATATCTGTGGGTTCTGTGATTCAGCCAACCACAGAGTGAACAAAAACAGGGGAAACAGTCTGTTTATATTGAGCATATGCACAATGGTTTTGTCATTGTTCTCTAAGTGGTATGGCATAGAGTAAGTACAAGTAATCTAGACGTGACTGAAGTATAAGCGAAGATGTGTTTACACTGTGTGGAAATAGCATACTGCATATGTAAAGGACATGATCACCCTTAAATTTTGGTTGCTGTGAGGCCAGAAGAAGCTACTGGAATCAGTCCCCTGTTGTTGCCCAGGAAATTTTATTTGCAGTTTAATTTCTTCGGAAGGATGACAACTGCATGTGACTGCTGAGATTAAGGTAGTTCACATGGCCATTATTAATATTTTACTCATTCGAGAAATTCTTGAGTGCAAATTTTATCATTTGCCAACATAACAGCAAGCCAGCCTGGCACACCAGAGTTTCATCACTAGATGAGAGGTATATAACAAAACCTAAACAGTAAGAAAGTTTACAGTCAGTTATTGTATTTTTAATTTTCATTTCATTAAATGGAATCTAGAATCTAAGTCATTGTTTTTTCCTGAATCCATCTAAAGCTCATTCTGTGTTTTCCTCTAATTGCATATAGACAAAGAACTCATAAGAAATTACCAAATATTCCAAACTGAATCATTACATCGAGAAGCATCGCCATTTAAATTTGATTACTAACTTTGAATGAAAAATTTGAAGTAATTCAGAAATGCATAATGGGAGCACCCACAGCTAAGGTCTTTAAATGGGGTTAAATGAAAATGACTTCCCTCCATACAGTGTATGCCATTGCTGTAGGAAGTTGCTGCAAATCTCCTTCATTTAACTGGATACCTTATAGCATATGCTATTGATTCCTCACCAGATCATGTCTCTTATTTCTTCTACATAAGTAGTGTGCTGATTCTGCCAGCCCATTCTGCTAAGTCTGGCAGGTGCTGAGAGGGAAAGTGAGCACATTATCCTGCGGGCAGCATTACACTTGCTGTGACTCTTACTCATGTCTAATATTGACCTGGTGCTAGTTATTGGTTTAGTACAGACAGCGAATGGTGCCTACATAATGAAACATGAAGTTTGTTGGCAAAAAAATTTTGGACATGTTCTGCAAATTTTGAAATGAATTCAGTAAGATTATCTGCAAGATTCAAGTTGTTGCCCTTTGACCACTGTCTGAATTCTGCAGGCAAATAAAGTCACAGTGCCCTTTAGTAGTTAACAAAGAATACTTTTAAAATACCAGTGCAATTCATGACTGAATCGGATATATATCTATTCAGATTATATATGTGTCAAGGAGACGTTGATTTTGCTTTCTCAACTCTCTTTCTTTTTCTACATATTTTCACTACCATGCTGCTTTAAAGTCTCCCTGTTCCCTCTTTCAGAACATGAGGGCCCTGCAGTTTTCCCTGCTAGGTTGCCACTAGTAACTGAATACAAATTCCCAGCATGACTCCTGTGACTATGAGGGGGATGTGAGAAGGAATGTTCAGTGAAGTGTTGCAAAACCGCACCTGAAGTTCTCTGTATGCCTTGCCTCATTCAGGAGACTCAGCACTTAGAGAAATGCATCTGCAGCGAAGTGAGATTCCTGAGGGAAGGAACATGGAGGAGTCAAGCATCCCCAAAGCTTGATCGTGTAAATCGGTAAGTTCAACTGGATAGAATTTCTACCATATAACCAAAGAAGTATCATCACCACATTCAAGAACACATTTCACATGAAATTGTATGATTGTAATTCAATATCTAAATTATGAAGAATATAGAGAATTGTTCCAGTGAAGTGCTCTATTGATACATAATTATTTAATAAAAATGGCATTACTAACAATAACCAGTACATCTAGTTCTCAGCACACATTATTTAAGGCATAGCCGTTATTTTTAGAGTAATTGTGACAACCTCAACAATCCCAATCCAGAGATTCACTTTTTTTTTTTTTTTTAAAGAAAAATGACCAAATTCAGCATCTTCCTTAGGATCCTCTTTGGCACTTAGATTCTTTAGGTCTATAGATTTTAGTACGTTTATCCTATATAATATGGCTAATATCCACTTACAAGTGAGTATATACCATGAGTTTCTGCTTCTGAGATACCTTACTCAGGATGATCTCTTCTAATTCCATCCATTTGTTTGCAAATTTCATGATTTCCTTCTTTTTAATCACTGAGTAATATTCCATTGGGTAGATGTACCACAATTCCTGTATCCATTCCTCCACTGAGGGACACCTAGGTTGTTTCCAGATTCTGACTATTATGAATAAAGCTGCTGTGAACATACTTGGGCAAATGTCCTTGTTGTATAGTGGAGCATGAATTCCAAAGTGGTTGTAAAAGCAGTAGAAGAGAGGTAACGGAACTAGAGCCTATCACAAAAATGCTGTGAAAGACTCCAACTAGCAGGGGATTGAAGCAGATGCAGAGACTCACGGCCAGACTTTGGACAGCGCAGGGAGTCTTTGTTTTTTCTCTACATTCAATTTAGTTACCTTATCATTTTTTGGACTCACACACTTTTATAAAGAATATGCTATAAATGATTTGATAAGACAAAGAAAGTTAGTTAAAATGTGTTATCCTATTCTCAAATTACAGTCCATTTTAGATACTTATTACTTTTGCCTTCTCAGAATGCAACCAGTATGGATAATGCGTACAAACTAAAATATACCCATTCCAAAATTATATGTCTTAGTGCACTAATGTTTAAATTTCCCCCAGTTTGGTTATTAGGTACACTTTAGACAAAAAAAAAAAAAAAGAAAAAGAGCTAACATGCAAAGGAAATTCTCTACACTCCATTTCAACTTATTGTCTCTCTATATATTAGGTATCTTGAAATTAATATAAAATATGTTTTTGTAAGCATATTTCATTCTGACTTTTGAAGTTTTTTATTTCGGTTTCCAAAAATATGGTATTAATATTCCATAATTTAATATCATTAAAATATGGTACTATATAACTTATTTATCATTTGAATTTGGTGACAAAATATTTGATACATATTATACACAGCACCACTTGGATGTAACTAATTTGTTTACACCTAATAGTCCTGAGGAAATTACTTTACCTGTTTAATTAAAATGCATGATGTCCTTCAAGACTGAAAGCAATTATGAAAAAATAGAGCATAACAATGAGAGAAGAGCTTATTTTAATTAAAAAAAAAACTTGCAGTATTATTTTTCACACACTGTGTTAAAATTGATGGTAGCTACCTCTGTGTCTGCAAAGGTCTCCTCGTAAAATGCCAGCATAACCACAAACTGCAGGACAGCATACATCTTCAAAAGCAGGGACGCTGGCGATGATAGGGGGACTTCCTGCCCTGTGACCTGGGTAGACAAGAAGGACACTCTTCTTTACTCCATGTCACAGCACACTTCTCTTTCTAAAATTCACACTATGGGAAAAGGTGTTGCACAGAGAAAGGGTGTTCTCAGCTTTCTACAGCCTCTGACATTCATTTCCTTAAATAATAATGATAAAATGTCTAAAGATTAGGAGAGCTGCTTCTCTGTGCAGAATATTAAGTCCAATTGTTACGATTTAAGCTTTTTCAAAAAAAAAAAAAAGAAAAAAAAGCCAAAGTGCTTCTGCTTGTTTGTTCATTACTGCAATAGCCAAGAAGAACAAATTAGAACCGTGTATGTCGAAATAGGAAGAAAAAGAAGGCAGGTGACCCTGGGAAGCCTAAGGAACCATGATTCAGCACCAAGTGGTATTTTATTATTATTATTATTTACCATTAAAAATCAATAGTTTACTTAGTGCTTTTTAAAGAAAAACTGTCAACTTTTTACAAAGTGGCATCAAATATGAAATGTGTTTAAGTGTATGATAGTTTCTGTGTATTATTTGCAATATAAACGGAGTCACTACTTTCACTGATTTATAGTTAACATTGTTAATTAGCAAATGGCAGTTTTATGGACATTGAAAATTCTCCTTCTTCTTCTTCTTCTTCTTCTTCTTCTTCTTCTTCTTCTTCTTCTTCTTCTTCTTCTTCTTCTTC